CAGTTACTAGATCCAAGTAGGTTACGTTTTAGTTATCCGACGTAGTTTTCAAACTAATAAAACGACAGAATATACAGAAATGCTTTAAGAGTGGTTTCCTTTATGATAAATCAATATTGAATTTGACTGTGTTTAATAAATGGAGTGCCTAAGGAAACTCAATAGTTACATAAATAAAAACAAATTCTAAATACTTATAAATAAATAAAACAAATAAAACAAATTTCTAATAATACTTATAAATATAAATATTCAAACAAGTTAAAATCATTTTTAAACTAATATTCTAAACATTCAATTCCAGTACGAAAAATTTGTCTATTTTCTCATATATTTTATAAAGTTTTTTTATGGTGTAATTTATTTGTTTGTAATATGTTAATGCCTTAGAACCAAAGTAATAAAGTAATTATAAACTTTCAAAATATAGCTCATTTGAAACACATCGTAATAAGGTAATTCTACAATAGGTAAGTATTATTTTAGAACAATCAGCATTGTGTTATAAAATATGGCCGAGACCATTATGTTCTTGGTTAAATTAATTTTGACATCAAATGAGTTTCTTGCACCCCATTAACGATTAAAACAGTGTCTTTGTGTTTAATTAAAATATGTCAACTACTAAAGGATTATTGAGCCAATTATTTGAATAATTTTCAGTTCCTCATGAAACCGTTTAAAATTCTCCTCTCCTTGTATGTATATAATTTTATTTATACTGCTTGCGTGAACTGACATATAAATATCCATTGCATAAACATTTCACCGACTTGTAAATATTTTATAAAAGTCGGATCTAATTCCCGTATCTAACCTTATCCTCGCCGTAGGCAAAAGTCAATAATTAAAATTCACAAGATTCATAAAAAATCCTGTTCCGATCAAAAATCCAACGTTCCTAAAACCAACAGAAGCTATAAAGTCTTTCAGACGCTTTCTAATGATCCCTTCTATTCATCGACAAACATAAAACTTACAGTCGGAAAGGCACGTTCGGTTAAAATAATAAATTGACTTTTCTGATGCGATTCGCGGGCCATTGCTTTAAGATTATCTTCACCAAATGTCGTTTTATAGTTTGTTTTGTTTTAATCTCGGCAAGACTAGTGTGCCAGATTGAAGCTTTAAAAAATAAAACGTAATACACATCTGTGCAGCGATCACTGAAATATGAATACCATCATCACCATATATCAGCCAAAGCGTTTGGTTTCTTTCAGAAACGTTTTGCTAGAGGCTTACGCACATACACGCAATGCAGTCTCAGCAAAACCTCAATTTTGCACGCATATGAATTAAATTTCCCTCAAAGATTTAATACATAATTAGTTTTATACATTCATTTGAAGTGGAAATAAGCGTTTAAAATTTGCCTTTGAATTTACATATGCTGCTGTAATCAACACATAAAACCACAACAAATTACAATATTTCCAGTTACATATAAACATAATTATTCAAAATGCATATCAAAGTATTGAACATTTATTACAAGTTTTATAAAATGTGTTATTTCTGAATTTCTGTACTCTTTATCAAATAAAATATGTTGTTTGGCTTTAAATAATTTTTGAATAAAGAAAAATATATTTTGGTGATTTACACTTTTATAGGCAGTTATACGTATGTACATACCTACCACAAAGTAGCGAATAACACGAATGGGCTAATTAAAAATGCAGCTGGAACATGCAAATTTTAAGTTTCCTTAAAACTTACTCAAATAAAAAACAAAAAGTAAATAAAATATTGCCTCAAAAATGATTCAAAACAAAGTTTAAAAATTCAATTTCAAAATTGTGATATCGTTTGAAGGTAATTTTTAACATTTTCTTAATTGTACATGATGCCTTACTCTACAGTTGTAAATGCATTATATTCTAGTAAAAAATAGTATTTTATCAACTTGCAATGAGAAGGAAATCACAATAATTAAACTTTGACTGGGCGATGTTGTTCCACTTTTATCACTGCTATCAATACTTAATTTGCAAATATTAAAGAAATTTTTTTTGTTCTTGGATTAACTTGTTATAAAATTTGTAATTCTTATTAATTTCGTTAATTTTTCATCTCTATAAAATTATTAACAGATGGACTGTCAAAATTAATTTAATTCATTAAATTAGTTTTCTTCCAAAACGTAATGGATAACAACAGTTTTCGCGACCTAAATAATTAAACTTTGTTTACAAACTCAAGAGAGTTTTGATAGCACTATAATCGATTGGAACCTTGAAACAACACTTTATACAAAAATACTTTTATACTTTATCAAAAAGTAATTACATATTTCTAAAAACTATTTATAAAAGCAATGAAAAAACTGTTGTTTCTAATGAAATCTTGATACCGGAACACTCAATTCTTAGGCCAATGTATAATAACAGAGAATAGAATTTTCAGTGATCCACGGAAGTAATAACAGTAGTTAGGTAGCGGTTTTAACCTATAATTTATTAACTCTATCTGTAATTAAACGTTAATCAATTATTATAAACTCGTACATATTATAATACAGAGTGGAATTTTTAACTGGTAGAAAATTCATAATTTGAATATAAGCGATTTTTGTAAAAAATCCTGAAACAGTTTGATTTTGATTTTTTCTTGCGCATCATTTAACACATATGGTTTTTGTTTATCTGCTTTCTAAAATGCACAGCCACCTATAACTTTTTTTTTAATGTAATGATTTGAGAAATTACACATTGTTTGAAAGGTCGTTTTGCAAGGAATACAATGTACTATTTATTTTCTGATTATTTTCAAAGCTCACAAGATTAAAAATAAAACCAATCTTATAAAATTAATCTTATTTAATGCAACAAATATTCAAAATGGATATCGTTCCTTTCCTGAGAAACTGCAAAACGATCGTAACATGTATTCGGTACGTTTTACAACATTTCGAGTGTGATTTGCGAAAAAATCGAATAACATTGAGGACCTTAGGAACGTTTTAGGAATAAAATTAGGCAAATCACCCGAAATGTTGCAAAAGATGCATGTTACTTTTAATTTGCAATTTGCACGGAAAGGAACGGTATCCATTTTGAACATTTATTGCATTAAATAGTATTCAACTTAAGAATTTGTTCTTCCTTTTTTATTACGTAGACTTTAAAAATATTCAAAAAACAAATAGTACGTTGTATTGCTTGTGACGTGGGCATTCAAATGAGGTGTCACCTGTCATAATGTTACATTTGAAAAAAAAAAGTTATAGGTGTCTGTGCATTTTAGAAAGCAGATATACAAAAACCATATGTTTCAAATAATGCGCAAGGAAAAATAAAAATCGGCCTGTTTCAGGATTTTTTACAAAAATCACTTATACGCAAATTATGAATTTTATTCCAGTTAAAAATTTCACTCTGTATAAATATAACTAATACGCAACTATAAATTGTGCCACAGCCATCGTCACTAATTCTGTCACTTATTTTGTCTAAAATAGACAAGTTTCTTGGCTTAAAATTTGTCAGTAGGGGTCAGTTTGTAACACAGAATTTTTTTGTACACAGAATTCAAAAGTTTTTGACTTATTTTACCTCAAAAAACGCAGTTGCGACGTTGCCATTAAGGCGATAGCTACAGCACAGGTAGGTAACACTACTAGGTAAAATACATGTTAAAATATAAAAAAATACAAAAGAAAACAATAGCAACGTTGTTTTAAACAAACTTCTTTTTTTTTAACCCGGCGCATCCACCATTTTTAAGTTTGTCGGATATCACCCATGAGGCTAAAATATTAAAATACTTTCCAAAATTTTAATTTCAACTTTAACTGTTATAAAGGTGACTAATAATACGACAAATCTAAATTCCAAAAAAATAGCTGTCAAAAAAAGAAATACCTTTATGAAATTATAAAATAACAATTTATTCACTACACTTCACTTCACTTCACTTTACTACAGTCGTTTATACGAAATTAGCAGCATCAGATGTTTTACTTTAACCCAATTTTATTGTTTTTTTTATATCAAACCCTGCATTCATTACCTCATTGTCTTTTCGCTAAAATTGCTGTTCTCTTAACAAAATAAATTTTCATGAACATTGTGTTTAGAAATTAAGGTATTACAATAATCAGCAATTACGACTTTGCATGGAATTTTTATTAGCGTAATATATGGAAAGTTTAACACAAAACGTATCATGATGCGAATAGTTTAAATGAGTTTAGTAACCTCTCAAATGGAATGCTGCTGACCTGAGAAACACAGAGTAGTGCAATTGTTGACGAGTACATATCTATGGTTTTTACAGCACAGCTCTTGGATTATTTTGTACAACAAAGATATTGTTTAATGCTCAATTTCTAACAAGGTCCATTACACTAAAAGTAATAATTAAAAAACACAAAAATATACAGCAAAATAAATACTGTAATCCTTTGCAATTTAAAAAAAAATGGTCAGCCAAATGTATGTACAGTTTTTTTATATTCCTTTGTAATTGATTTCTTTCCACAATTTGCTGATATAATATTTTTACATTTCGAGCAATAATGTGGAAATAAAATCCCACTCCAACCTCAGCACCGTGTAATCGTTTTCAGATTTTTATTAAATTATAATTTGAAAATATGAAAAATAAATTGCGGTGTAAATCTGAAATACAGAATCGAAGAAGCAACGTAATAGAAATCAAGCATCTAACGTAACAAAAAAGATGAATTATTATGCACAATTTCATTTAAAGGCGAAATGTGACGAGTAAATCATTTGACCACTTTAAGAAAAAGGAGTGATTTTATTTTCGGACACAATATTAAGAAAATTTATCGCTTCTATTTAACAAGAGGATGCTTGCAACGCAAGATAAGTGTTCCGACATTTCAGGACAAAAGAGCATAATGGAGTATTTTTGTCTCCAAATTCAGTGTTCTAGTCTTTGTCCGTTGACCCTTTTCCACTTTAAGCTGATCCGTCCCAAATAAAAAGTGTTATAGCTAACAACAATGAATAAAATAATATAGACCTTACCTGCATGTTTATGAGAAAGCATTCCTTTGTATGTTCCGTTTTATATTCCACACAACTTTAGTAAATTACTTTGTTGTTCACCATAACAGACACGACTTTTTACTTCATTTTAGTTTTCAATTTAATCTTGCCGTAAATCACAACACTTAAAAGGTTGTTTCACAATTGACATCTTTTTCGACTGAAGAGCAAACACTCTCATTTTAATTAGATAATGTAATCAATTATTCTTTTAATGTTATAATCGATAAAAATGCTTGAAATTAATTACCTAATAGTTACTATTGGAAAAACTGAGCAATTGTAAAATTAATTGAAGTGCTACCAAAAATTCCTAGAGCACCTATATTATTTTTAACAAAAGATACAAAAGTGAAAGACTTTAGAATTTGCCTTAACAGTGAGCATTCCAGCTTATCCTTTTAGCAATATTAACTTTAAAGTATATTTAGACATAAGTCAAGTTAATCTATTAAGTATTATTACAATTATAAAGTTGAAACACATTACTTTCTTTGTTATAATTTAAATACAGAGTTATAAAAAAATTAAACTGTTTGTAAATTGGCGACATTATCGAGTTCACCGGGAACAAATTTTTGCTAATTTCAGATGTTTATTTTCACTTCAAATAGCGTTGATCTTCGTATATACTAGCAATTGTAAATCGTTTTCCCCGTCATTTAAACGTTTGCAGCACTTACTCGTTTTGCTTACTTTTAAACGGCACAAAGAATAAAATGTTGTATTTATCTAGTTTGAGTGTAAATCGGACGCATTATTTCACCGAGTGGATTATTAAACCACGAGTGTAACAACAATTTTTTTTTAACTGGGAGTCATTCTCCAACAAATTCAAATGTGGTTCAAAATGTTGAATCGTTGTTTTAGGTTTTTTCCTCTTTTTGTCGATGCAAGCCCTTTTTAAACTTTAATAAACTTACATTGTGACATTAATGACGTTTTTGAATAAATACTAGCGAATTAAAAACGTTGAGAAAATGTGAAAGATCGTTCCCTTAACAATAAGGTTACGGAATACGAAATTCAAACATATCGTTACAACATTCTAAGAAACTCATTCGATCATTAACGAAATCGTTCATGAATGAAAAATTTGAGAATAAGGGTCTTAATCTTAATGTTGATTCATTCTGGAAAAATAACACAAAAAAATTAAGTTGATGTTCGAATTTTACATGTTTATGTATGTGATGCGATAATTGTTGTGGGGTGTGTATATTGTATATAATTTATGTTTATGCCTGCTAAAATAAATTAATTCTTGTATGTAAGTTTGTACCATGATTACCACAAAAAATCGATCTCTGATTGACATTGTCATAATTCAACATTTTTTCTAGACAAACACACAATTTTAAATCACAGATGTGCCTATAGTAGTGATTACTGCTCGTTAAACGTGCAAATAAATTATTTGTTCTAAATCTGAAAATTTATCCTACTGTAAACGATAACAATCTCCTTGCTAACGTTAAAATTAGAAAACTTAACATCCTCATGGTCTATTAACTTTTTATAGAGTGATAAACTTTTACGGATGCTTTTTAATGTGTCGTAAGTGACCAAAGTTGCTTAAAAAAATAGTTATTAGGTCCTATTACCACATGACTATCGTTTATTTTAATGAATTGATGCCAGAAAAACAGTATAATAATTGCTCATTACGAAATTGCTCGGATATGTTCCAAGCTGCGTACAAAACAACATAAACTGTTGCATTTCATTAGTTTGGATTGGCCAAATTTGTTATGCAATAAACTTAATAATGATAGTATGTAAAAAAACAAACATTACATTGTATTAAATCTGAATATTACAAAAAAAAATAGCAGCCATACAAAATTGAATAAATAATTGAATATGATAAATTGTCATAGCATTAGAAGTATTTATTTTTGTTGGAATTTTTTTTTTTTGCTAGGGTCTACTAGAATAGGAAACAAAGTCACTGTATCCTAAATTGGAACAATGTTTAGTGTTATTTGTGGCTTTTATTGGCAAAATTTTTGTACCTTTACTAAATAATTATGAAAAAAACATACAGGGTGTTCGTTTTTCGAGCTCCACCATGGAGATCTCAGTTATTATAATAAATACGAGGTCGGTTAAATTAGGGCAAAGTTGCGTATACTTAGGCTGAACAATAATCTAAAAGAAAATTTAATGTGTCATTTTTAGTTTTTGATTTTTTGGAAAAAAACGGAAATTTGTAATTTTCGTTTTTATTTTTCAAGCGAAAACTAAGAGACCTAGACTTTTTTAACTAGGACGTTCTCAAGGCACTTTTTTATAAGGAATGTAAATCTGTCATCGTATTTTCCAAGGTGCTCTCGATATCAGAGTTACAACACTCAACTTTGGATTTTTTTACGGACGCCATATTTGATTTCTGTTTTTTGAAAAGTCTTTTTGTTCCTGATTACAACGATGTATTACACGATATGATCAAATTTTACATGCTGATCAAAGTTTAAAAAAAAGCGTTTTTTCCGTTTTTTCAATTTTTTTGACAGATAGAATTTTTAAACATTTTTTTAGTACTCCGGGGGACTCTCCAATTTACTCCCTTTTAAGGAGCTGCGCGACTTTCCGGACATCCTGTATTTTTGAATTTAGATAGCAGAAATGGCAGATCTTTCAAACAAATAGATGCATGTTGAAAAAAATCACTAATTTGTGTCTTATGATGTACAAAATATTTAACAAACTAGCAAATTCAACAATAAATTAAATCCGACATCGGAAACAAAAGAGCTATAAAAATTGTCAGTTCTGTATTTTCTCAGAAACCAAGCCTTCAAAAAATCTGCATTCATTTTTATGCTTAGCTGAAAGAGTTTTATTATTATTTTAGAGTTGGTCCGACACTTTTAAATCACCCTGTATAAGAAGGAATAAAGCAAATATTTGATACCATTTGAAAATAAAGTACGAGTATTAAGAAACCAGGTTAAAGTTGAAATATTTTTAAAATGATAGGGTTTAACGTGTGATATTGTTAAATTGGATTTAAAATAAGCAAGAAGGCATAGAAGGTTTTTCAGTCACCATGTATATAAATCACTTTAGAAGTAAAGGTAAACGTGTTCAGATTTTGAAACACTTAAAATGAGACCAGTGATAAAAATATCAACATTTGCTATCAATCATATTTTACGATCACATCGAGAATATAACTTATTTCACAAAATTATTAGTAGTCGCAGTTTCCATGTTGTATTCATGTTTTTAATTACATGAAAATTCCAATAAAATTACAATTTTAAAACAAGTACTAATCTTTCAAAATTTCAAAATGTTATCAATATGCGTTATATTATATTATTCAAAATTGGTTTGAGTTGCAAATAATCAATACCACATTTGAATAAATAAACCACTGTTAAAAACCACATTTACAAAAATTTTGAAATGTAAATCTAATATTAAAACAATCTTAAAATTGTAAAAATTAGCGATTGGAAATACATAATCGTTTAGTCATTTCAGTAAGTCAACAAACTAACTAAAACCAATTAGCGTTAATTAAAGACCTCTTTAATAGTTTCTACAATAAACTCACAAGACAGAACTTTAACTCTATGAAGGTTTGTACAAATAGTTAAACGGATAATGTCGGAAATCCTTCATAATTCCTGCAGCTAAAGCAAGTACGAATATCCGTAACAACTAAGAGGTTATTTGCATAGGATATCAACTTTGAGTATAAATTTTAAAGAAGATAACGCTTAAAAAGGTATATTCTGCGTTCATTAGATAGTAACGCGAAACAGATTTCCTACCAACAGTTATCGATTTGTAAAAAAACAAAAAGCTTCAAATTTAAATAAAGAATACTACGACCAAATCATGCAAATGAAGGATTTCATCAACGCATAAATAATGTGTACAAAACAAAAAATGTGCATACAAGTGAAATTTTTATAGATTGTAAAGTTACAAAATAATAATAAATCCCTTGTCAAATATTATTACCTTTTTCTGTTTTGAATAACCAGAAAAAAGTCTAGTAAATTTAGGTGAACACATTAAACATAACAACATGGATTTTTTTATACTTTTTAGCACCTTTTGAAATAGTGTTTTAAAGATTAGAGGTTCACAAAAATACTACTTTTGGATTAAATGTTTGTCAGTAGACTCTGTATTAGTGCTAGTTATTTTTAAATATCTAACATTGAAAATTAATTTGCTCCACTAATTGAATCAATAAGCTAACTTCATTGAGTTAGATATTTTCATAATGTTCATGCACTATAATTATTAAATGGGTAAAAAATTGTTTTTTAATTAAAGTTATTTTGCTAATATTCAATTACTATAATTTCTGAAAAAACATTATATTGATTTATCTCTGTATTACATATGTTTAGAGCACTGATGTAGTGTATAACAACGTAAACAAACGCTTGTTGTTGTATTGTAGGTAACCCAACATCTCTACTCTTCTTATTTGTAATTTATAAACCATTAGGAAAAATAGTGATTTCATTGACTGATAAACATCTATTAGCAATCTACAATATAAAAATAAACTAAAAATCATAGAAGTTACTGTAAACAGTACATTTATTTCTAAAATATTTTTTATTAGTGTTATTAAACAAATACCCGCTTTGAAGTATGTTTATCACACTATCTGCGAAAAGATAAACAAAAATAAAGTTTTAATCTTTTTTTAAACTTTGTAGCATTTAATAATTTTATAAATTTAATTCAAATCACTAACTTTAGTGGCTGATGCTGCATACTCACTGTTAGCAAACCCTAATTCATTTATTATTTATTTCACTGAAATAACAATTATCGATCGCTGTTTCAAAACATAATTCACATAATTAAAAAATCACCTCACTGTTACAACAAAAATACACAATAGCAATTGGTTTGGCAATGGTTTCTTATATTTTTCGGGTAAAAACTAAAAAGATCACCACACACTCACACTCATAATGTTGAAAACTCACAATTTTCAAAAATTCAATTTTGTAAAATGTGACATGTTGAATAGAAGATTTTAAAAACAACGGCGCGAACTTCTTGCGCCCGACAAGAACTTGCGCGACGCCTGCAGCAACAGTTAACTGAGTCAACGGTAAAAAGCTTGATGTTGCCGTCGCGGCGCATGTAGTTATTCACGACGCGCGCACTTTTGCTGACCCTACGATTGGGTCAAGGTTCAATGTTAATATCGTCACGTGACTGCAACTGCATTTTACATAGGCCTGTCTTATTTAACAGGC